GTTTTTAAAAGAATTCGACCAATCCGAGCGTTAAGTGATCCCTGCGCATAAAGACACTTTTCAAATTAATGATCCGAGCCATCCATCCGACTATGTGAATTCTTATAAAATCCATTTCGGCAAGTCGACCCCAGTCTGACGATTTACATTTAAAATCAACGTAATATTAGTCGATAAGCAACCAAAGATACATTTTTCTCTGTACGCAGTTAAACGTCCGGTACGGCAAATTTGAATCTGCCAATGCTTCATTTGGATTGGCCGCAAAGTGCAAAAATTTTTTTTAAATCAAAGTTCCTTAGTACTTTGTTTTGAAATCTCTGGATATGTAGATTACTAGCTTTGATACAGCCCCAGAGTTGGCACCCATATACGCATAAGATACTTGCCTCAGTACTTGCTTGTCAATGGTTAGTTTATTATGAATGGATAATGTTGATTTTTTTCCAATCAGCCAATACAATTTCTTATATCTAATATCGAACTGTTTTCTTTTCTTTTTGACATGGACTTTCCAGCGTAAATATTTTGCTGATTTTTTTATTTGTAAAGTTAATCTGTGCAGATTTAGTCTCATTTAATTTTATTCACCACTTTCTGGTCCAGGTATGTATTTTATTTACTGATAGTTGCAACTTATCAGTCGCTTCTTCACTAGTGTCTTCTATCACTAGTATGGCTGTATCACCCGAGAAGGTGGCAATAGTGTTTAGTTCTAGATCTGGATTGTCAGATGTATACAATAGGTACAGGACGTATACAATAGGTACTCTCTTGTGTCACACTAGCTTTAATCTCCCTTAAGTCGGTGTACACTTCTTGTTTTACTCTGAAATATCTATTCGCAATGTACGATTGTTGAATGATACTGAGGAACGTTGTTGATGCTCCTTGGTATATCCGTAATAGCAACCTCAACCAGGACCTGGGTATGGAAACTATGACCGAAGTAATCAAAAGAACAGCAGCAAGTCACGAACAGAGGCTGTAGGTCAGAAAATAACTGATAATTGGTCATTTGTGACCAGATATCAGTGTACAAACACCGTACAGGAGTTTTACAAAAAAAAAGTGTTAACAAATTCAGCTAAATTACTTTAAAAAATGCAAGCTATGGGAGAAACTGTAAGTACCGATAAATCTGATATTGTAAATTATATTTTGCAAAATGGGTTTTCATCTATTCCACACGAAGGACAAATTGATATTAAAAATAAGGAGCGTCCTTTGCCTCAAATATTCTGGCGTATAAAATTAGTGCGGGGGTATGGGAAGTAATTCTCTAAGGGATAAAAGTAAGGGATTATTCTCGGATAATTGGTACAGCAAGAACTCCTGGCTTACTGGAAGTGAAATAAAAAACAAACTTTTCCATTGGCCTTGCATCTTGGGGCAAACATCAAAATCCGTGGTGCGAATCTGGTTAAGATAATTTAAAGGAATCATTTAGGGCTTTATAGAGACATGATATTTCGAAAGATCATACATACAGCCAGATTAAATTAGATTTATTTGGAAAACAAAATATATGTTTCATTAGATAATACCCAACGTGAAAATGCTATTAAACAACGAAATTGTATAAAATAATCACACAGTTTTACGTCGCTTAATTGATATTGTAATTTTTTTAAGTTGTCAGGAATTATCATTTAGGAGACACGTTGAATAGGAGCATTAGTTAAATCAAGGTAACTATCGAGAACTAATAAAAATGTTTAAGAAATACGATTTCGAATTTTCTATTTACTTTCTGATTCGAAGACATTTAGCAACGTATCTAAAACAATCCAGAATGAATTAATATAATCAATTAATAGATACATTTTAAATAACTTTATTGAATCTGAGATTCTGGAAACCATTTGCTTTTTGCTAGAAGTAGATAAAACTACTGATATATCATGTTATTCACAATTATCAATTGTTGTTCGATACGCGTTACGTGGTAATATTTATGAGAGGTTTTTTGGTGTTACAGACGTGAGTAAAAGCCATAAAGCAGAATATATTTCTGATGTTTTAAAGAACAACATTTTTTGATATCAAAAATATGTTGATAGAGCAAACTTATGTCGGGACTGCCGTGATATTCGATGAATTGAATGGTTTCCAGGTAAAAGTTAAAACTATTGCACCGCAAGTTTTATTTACTCAGTGTCATACGCATAGAATGAATTTAGTCTTGCAGGATATGTGTAAAAAAATTAAAGTATGTTGTCTTTTTTTGCCAGTTTAAGCGGATTTGCTTCATTTTTCTTAAGCTAGCCAAAACTGGCCGATGTTTTAAAACAATTTGTTTTGAAAAAAATGGCAACAATTTGTCAGACGCAATGGCAATTTAAATCTCGATTAGTTTTCACTGTAGCAGATTTTCGTGAACACCTTTTAGAAGTTTTTGATTTTATTATTGTAGGCGACGATTTTGAAAGTGATGATATCTTGATCCGTGAAGCAATAGGTTTGAATAAACGATTACTCTTTATAGTTTAGATTAAAAACGAGTACATTTTGACATTTTGGATACTATTATTATGCAAATAGATACTCGTTTTTCGAATTTTGAAGATTATATAATTTTTGGCCTCTATGAAGATTCAAAATTTAAAAATTACACCAAAGAAATTCCAAGAGATTTAAAAGACAAGTTGATTAAAAATTCATAACAAGAAACTGTTCCCGAAATTAGTAAATTATTGTCATTAATACTCTCATTACCACCAACTTGTGCCACAAATGAACGGGATTTCTCTTGTCTCAAAAGAATCAAAACATATTATCAAAACACCATGAAACAAGAGAGAATGTCAAGCTTGTCTCAAATGTCAGTAAAAAAACTTTTAAAATCTCTCAAAATTCTAATAAATTTTACGATGACGTTATAACCCATTTTGCTACTTCCAAACATAGACTAGAGTTAATTTATAAACATGTTTAGGTTTTAAATTCATAGGAAAAAACAAACAATCTCCTATGATGATTGAAACCGTTTATTAGACAGTATACCTATCTGAGGAGACAAAAAAAAACCTTACCGACCCTGTTTCTAAAGCCATGAGCCACCACTGCTATACTTATAAGAGTTTTTTGAGACAGATGTTTGTCTGTTCCATTGATTACTGACTAAATGCCCAAATTTTAAAGCAGCCTTAGACTTTACCTAAAGATTATTATATAAGTTTCCCATTTTTACAAAACTAACTGTTTTCAAATGAAATTCATGGAAGATTTCCCTGGTTGTCATATTCTGAACATAAAAATAGACTATACTATACAATTTGCTTCGTAATGAAAAGCACACTTAATGATGGTAAAAGTGACCATCAGTGGTTTGGTCAGCTGTATAACCAACTCTTTTTGCAAGTAGAAAAATGCGCTAGAAATATTTTACTTCACCAACTCTTCACCTTCTTCGTCATCTAGTTCCCTCAGGTTTCGTCCATAGAGTAAGGTGATCATTTGCTCTTGCCAGGTGTTTTGGGTGCTTTAAGTGTCTAATATTTATTGTAGTAACTACATATTTCTTCTTTTTAAATGCCTCACCCTTCAGGTGCATAGACGAGCCATCAGACATGTCTCTTCTTCTTCTTCAGCCTTCATTTATCAATTGTTGGACATAGGCCTCCTCTAATTGCTTCCATGCTTCCCTATCTTTTGCAATTCTCATCCACTGCTTTCCAGCTACAGCTGTTATATCGTCTATCCATCTCTTTTTGGGTCATCCCATACTTCTTTTTGTTTCTTGAGGTCTCCAGAATGTCACTTTATGAGACCATCTATTGGTGTTTCGTCTTGCTACATGTGCTACCCATTGCCATCTCAATGTAGCTATTTATCCCATGATGTCGTTTACTTTAGTTCTTCAACATATTTCGGTGTTAGGAATTTTGTCTCTGAAACTTATATTTAACATGGCCCTCTCCATGGCCCATTGAGTTACTCTTAAATGTTCTGCCATTTTTTTGTTATTGTCATAGTTTCCAAGTTTCCATAGTTTCCAAGATATGTACCACTTTTTATTCACTCAATAGTTCAAACATTTATATGATTATATTCTCTCAATTATTTCTCCATGTATTCTGATGTCAGTTAAGTTGGACTAGATTTTTGTTTTTGCTGATGATAATCCATTTGTTTTTCTTTGTATTTACTTTCAAACACATTGGTTTACTATGGTCTATTACAGCTGATAAAACTGTCTGTAAATAATCTTTATTAGTTGATAGGAAAGCTGTGTCATCAGCATATCTTAAGTTGTTGATGACTGATGACTACTCAGTATACCTTCTGTTGTAACTTCTACAGCTTCTCTGAAAATCTATTTTACCTATAAATTAAGTAAATGAAAGCAAAGAAAGCATCCACCCTTGTCGAACTCTTTTCAGGTCAGATATCGAATTTCTTTAGATATCTGACTTTAACTCTAATGTCAGCTGCCTGATTCCACTTCAAACTGGCTATTATAATACATATAATTAATTTATATTAAACACTGTCAAATGCTTTCTTGTAATTGACCAGCCACGCATACATCTTTGGCTTTAGCTTTTTCTTGTATTCTTCTTATAGATCGAAATTATGTAGGTGACATAACTAGATTAGAAAATGTATCTTCCTTTGACATATATATTAATTTGTGATGGGTATTGAGTTTTTGAGTTTTCTTTTCTAAAGGCACACATGTGCTTGAAAAATAGAGATAGTGCTAAATGACATGTTGGAATTAATTTCTACTAAATTATACTTATAAATACTTTATATTTTTAATATGACCACCATAATAATGGTCTATCAAATCTTGAATCTCTTCCCGTTACGTCCCTGTACTCCCTGTTCAGTATCATTTATATTTTTGTGTGGTGAGTAATGGCAATGACTCAATAAATAATACACTTTTTTTGTCCTGTTAGCACTAATTATTTTAAGTTGTGTACATAAACAATAGCTGTCTACTTTAATGTATATTTTCTAAATAAAATAAATATGTATATAGTACTTACTCTATTAGTTCAAACTATATTTTATATGGGTTTGTGCTTTTTTGTGTGAATTTGAAATTGTCCACACAAAACTTTTTGTTCAAAACAATAACAATCCTTCTTTGTTTTTGTCCACGTATATTCAATTTCATGACATGATCAAATGAGCATTGAAAACTGTTTTATCTTCAACCAATCGTTGAGTCCGATTAGTTATTACTAAATTGTGATTGGTTAGTTCAAACGGTTGAAATGTCAATTTAGAATCTTTTAACCTTGAAAATATTTTCATGCATTTTTGCGCCATATAATTACAATTTTGTCGATATTATATTATGATATTAAAATGAAATCTACGTAATAAGCTAAGGTGTTTAAGAGAAATCAGCAAAAACAGTTTCAGAAAATGAGCAGAGAACCATCATAGAAATTCAAATTCAAACTGAAGGCATATTAGTTTATTATTCTGTGGCATGACCTAACCGTGGCACAGAATAATAAACAATCAGAATGCCCACTCGCAGATGCCGCCTTTGAAAATTTTCAGCACGCGCGCCATGTTTTAGAAGGAAACAAATAAAACAGACATATGATTTGTGAGGTTATGTAATTGTTTATATTTATGTTTAGTTATATTATATTTATGTTATTAAATTTAACAATGTTAATACAATTGTATAGTATGTCTATAATTGTCGTAAGTCTACTAAACCTGGTTAATTTTTCTTTGCACACCACTTAAACAACACTGGTTCTCTTTAAAACATGGCGGAACGTCTGCGCGAACTAGATGCGTTTACTCATGATATAAGGAAACATGGTATGCTCACGCGCATCTATTTTGAACAGCCAATCACGTTTACGACCAAAATCCGCCATTTTGAAGGCGGCAATTCAAATATGTACAAAATTGATACGATATATCGTAGTTAAATTAAATTAAATAAAATTAATATTATACATTAATCCAATTAATTCATATTTAAAATAATCTGAACAGACTCTTGCTAAAATAATTTTTAAAAAATCGAAACAAAACAAAAACACAATTCCAGTACATTGCAAAGTAAGGTTAAAAAATGCAAAAGTAAACAAAGCAGACGTCACGTATGTAGAGGTGGTTGATCCAAGTATTTTTGTGGATCAGGTCAGGTATGCTCACTTAGACTTACTATGAGTACAGTACCCGTACCATGGACGTATAAACAAAGATCTTTATTTATACGGCCATGACCCGTACTCGTTTTTTATAATATATTGGTGTTAGGGATCAGTTCCACAAGTATAAATAAAATACATGTTCCAAAGTAACTGGTACGGGATCAGGTCACCATCCCTACACACATGTGACATATTGAAAAGATGGTGGATTTTGGTCGGCCGGCGGCCGGCGCGGAGAGTGGGCATTCTGATTGTTTATTATTCTGTGACCATGGCATATCAAAATGTTTCTAGTATGTCAATGTCAAAAAAGTGAGGGAAAACATTCAAACATAACCATAAATGACGCAGGACGCTACGCTATAATAAGTATAAGTAGAGTGCAGAGAAGTGTAACTGATATTTAATTGTAGTATATCGGTTGTCTTTTTACGTGAATTTAAATTAACTGCGGCTAAATATGAGTACTTTAAAACGAGGCGCTTTAATCGTAATAGAAGGTGTAGATCGCTCAGGAAAATCAACCCAATGTAAAAAGTTAATACAAGCTCTAGAGAAAAAGAGAATTGAATCCAAGTTGATCACTTTTCCAGACCGAAGTACGTTAACGGGGAAGCTTATTGATGAGTACTTAAAGAATAAAGACTGTAAACTGAATGATCAAGCAATACACCTCTTATTTTCTGCCAATCGGTGGGAAAATGTGGAGAAAATGAAGTCACTGTTATATGATGGCGTTACCCTAATTATCGATAGGTATTCTTATTCTGGCATAGTGTTTTCATCGGTGAAAAAAAGTAAGTTATTTTATATAGCTAGAAAAACAGTTGAACACAGAACTACTTGATAGAAGTATTGAATTTTTTCCACATGGAAATGCATGATAACACATCTTTTATGACATAAGAGTACAACAGTCATTATACAGGACTGTTCAAATCAGAAAAAGTATAAATATCAATACCTTCTTGTCTCTGTTTTCTACAAGAATTTATAAAAACAGCTGACAAACTTCACATACAATAAATATAAAATATACATGAGCAAGCAATAAGATTTCAAGCCAAAATTGCATGCCTCAGTGGCAGAGAACTTGAGTTTACTTTAGCATATAGAAATAGAAAAATTTCATTAAGAACATACATTTATTACATTCCTAAATACATACTTGTTCTTTTTGGATTAGATAGCATCATCATCACTACATTCGTTATTATCCAAAGAAATTATAATGTACTTTTGTTTCTTGTATTATCCTATTGAGTTTCCATATTTTTCTCTTTGTCTGTGACCTGTCTTTACCCTTTATTGGTACCCACATTATTGGTTTATTAAAATACAAATTAATTTTAAAATGCTTTGCTGACATTGTGTTGGGTAGTATATTTATGATTCCTGATAAAAAAGTGGAAATATTAAAAAAATTAATATTGTTACCATAAAAGATTGTAGATTATATGGATACCAATAGATTTTTACAGAGTTAACAAGTATTAGTAATTATTGAGTTTAATCTAAAATATTGTTAATACAAACTAAACAAATTCTCTTTTAGATATGAGTATGGAATGGTGTCAGCATCCTGAGAATGGCCTTCCTAAGCCAGATCTAGTGCTTCTACTAACTTTAAGTCTAGAAGAAATGCAGTCCAGACCAGGTTTTGGCAATGAAAGGTATGAAAATATGGAATTTCAAAGAAATGTTGCAAACATGTATAATCAGCTCTGTGATGAAGATGACAATTGGGTTAAAGTTGATGCTGCTGGGTCCATAAATGAAGTTCACAATAAAATTTTGGAAACTTGTTTAAGGAAAATAGAGAAAGTTGAGACAAAGCAGCTAAAAAGTTTAAATTTCAATAAAGGCAGTTGAAATAGTAGATAGACTAGGTGAATTAATAAATATATTTATATTATATTAATTATTTTTTATATATTGTATTAGTATTTAGTAATGATTGCACATTTTCGGAGTATTTGTATATACAGATGATAATTATAAACATGATATCAACTATAAACAGAATCAATTGTTTTAATTTCTTGATCCCACCTTATCCTATAATCCTTATCAAAAAGTAAATAGAAATTGCAAAATCTTGTACTAAAAATATATGAATGACTCAAAAATTAATGTTGCACTACAGTGAGTGTGACCAAAAGTGAAAACTTTTATCCAGACAGACCTGGAAAACATCTTTTATATTGAAAAAGATATTTATTTATTTCATGAAAGTACAGGTGTCGTTTACAGATAAATATGCTAAATATACAATTACAGATACAGCAAAAGCTATGTGAGTCAAATTAGAAAAAAATATATAATACAAACATTAATATTATTTTGGCACTTTAAAAATTTTGAATAAGAAGATGAGGTTCAACTACGCACACAATTTGTACATGGTGTACAGATATTATCATTATTGATATTTATTTAACAGAAAGAAAACTTATTTATACAAAAAGGAAACAAAAAAAAAACCCATCTAAAAAATGTCATTGTGAGAGGGTTATAAAATGGTTCTCAGGTTCTTTAGTATGTCAGAGATAAGGTTGCGGCATTGTTTATTTTTTAAACAATGGTTGTAGATAGTACTTTATTCCTTTTACCACAATGCTTCGTTGTCCTGCAGTTGAGTTCATTGAGGTAGCTCCAAGGTGGAATCTATTTCTTATCATAAAATTGTGAACTTGATGAGTGAAGATGTTTCCATATTAGAGTGAAATTTCTCCATTTGACACTGGTGTAGGAACATACATAATTGGTATATGTATATTGATTGAATGTCTATAATCTTAATGGGTAAATATATTTATTTTGTTGGGAAGAGTCTGGGTACTTGGAAGATTTTTTTATAGCTGTATTTTGAAGCTTTTTTATAGCTTTTCCATAACATATTTAATTTCAATAAATCTAAAAATATAATGATATATGTACTATATGTCATTTCTTATTTATTTGCCTCAATTTGTTTGAAATTGAAGTATTTTTTCTATGAAATTAAGTGTCATCACAAGTAAGATCACCCTGTATCTTTTGAAGTTTCTTAAAAATTTTAAACTTACACTTCAACACCCTGTATCTTTCTTAATATTAACATTTTATTAAAGCAATTTGGCTTAAATCGTAATATTTTAAAGAGTAGAATCTATGGTTTCTTTTTGTACAATCACTTAAGGACCACCCTGTATATAAAAAGAAGAAAAAATCTGTAGTAATTGTTTCAGAAAAAAATTATTAAACAAGTAGGAAAAAGAAATTTACATTAGATAATATTGTGCAACAACTATTAATTAAAAAAAATGTAACAAAATATGTAAGATTCTGAACAATCTGTTAATGATACATATATTTATTTTATACCTAAAATTTAGCAAAGTGTTAAACATTATAGAGAACACCAGTACACTTTAACTAAAACGAAAGGTTTTCTGTGAATTATGTCAACCATTTAGAGCTGTAAGTTGGTTGAATGTACTGTAGCACTTTGCAATGACATAAGATGACATTCAGAAGACCATGGGCCATTCACCCTACCTTTGTATAAGTGTTTTCTTAAACTACAATATTCAGTAATGTTTTAATCTCTTTTTAATTTATTGAGATTCACCAAATTGTCCGAGTGTTTTTTTGTCAATATTCTTGATTTTTTTCTCAGTCTGGATTTATTTAGGTTATTTAGCATCTTTGGTGATGCCACACAATGGTTCTGAGCCTTGTTTTGTCAACGTCATGAACTCTTTCATGACGTGACACCCATATTAAAGACACTATTGTTTTTTGCCAAGTTGGTTAGGAGATCTTTGCAGATCTAGTCTACCTGTTTCTTACTTAAATATAATTTATTTAGAGCATGGTGAGCTGGAAGATTCCCATTTTCAGTCTATAATGCTTACAGTGTATTAGGCTTAGTATTATTCCGTTCCTATCCAGAACATTGAAAGCAAATTGAGTTAAGTTCTCTTGCTCCTCTCTGAAACGGTGCATTGTATATCCAGATCCTTGTGTCATCGAAAATATTAGTTTTTATATAGGAAATATATATCCAGGAAGTACAAGTCATATCAGAACATGTTACAATTAATTCACTTAAATTGTACATGAAAATTAAAACACAGAACTGAGAAGAAACCAGTGATAAGCACATTAGGGTAAATAAATAAAAATCTAATAAAATTAAAATATATTTATTATTAAAAAAAAATTTAATATCCTATTTCTCCGAAACACCCTCAGTTTTTTCTTCAGTTGGGGAGTCTTCTCTTTTTCGTTTTCCTTGATTCCTTTTGCTTTTTTGAATCTTCTGGTCACCAACCCTAGAAATTATTTAAATAATATACAATTAATTATACAGTCCAACAAGTCGTTAGACTAAGAAACATACAGTAGATGATAAAATAAAAATGATGAAAAACATCAAAATTATGATATAATTATTGTCTGTTACATTTAATGAAAATTAGCCATAAATTTAATAAATTATTGAAGTTTGGAGAAGAATCATTAAACATGTATTATTCTTTTATTCGTTATTAAAATTTTCTTTACACAATTTAATTTATTCCTCTCACCACAAATTGTATAATCAAAAGAGCTATTAAAACTCCACGAGGAAACTAAGTTCCTGTAGCTGGCTGTATACCATATATCACAAAAAATTTTTATTTAAAATCCTTTATAAAAGGTATATAAAAATGCCCCAAACAGGCTATCACAAACACATTGCAGAACGTTTTCGGATTAAACAATCCATCATCAGTGCAAACCTGAAAGTATATAACCACTTTGATTAAAAAGAACGTTAAATTAAAATGTTGACAAAGGTTAGAGCAAAACGCAGGAGACTGCGTTCCCCAGGGATCCTACCACCAAACCCAATTATGTTTAACTCCCTTATCACCATGAGAGTCTTTCTGGAGATATTAGAAATCTAATTAAACGTTCGGTTGAAAATATTCATCTTTCATTTAAAGTACCTAATAACTTGGGTCAGTATATATCCAATTCCAAAGACCCCATCAACTATATGAACCGTAGTGGTGTGTATACATTAAAATGTTCTGATTGTGATGCTACCTACATAGGAAGAACATGTAGATCATTGTCTTCACGCTCTTTAGAGCACACAAAAAGAGAAAATACTTCCGCTTTCTCTCAACACCTTAAAGAACACAACCACACTCTCAATATCCCAGAAGACGTCTCACTTATTCATAACATCCCACAAAAAAACTTTCTCAAACTAGACCTATATGAAGACCTAGAAATCATTAAAGAAAAACAGAGAAGTCCAAATTGTGTCAATCGCCATGTTTCATTTAATCGAGACTTTCTTCCGCTCCACCGTCAATTATTCTCATAACTCATTATCAAACTTTACCTCTTCATTAGTATTTAAATTCTCATCCTTCTCTTATCACCTACTAATCATCGTTAGCCCCCTCAAACTTTGTTCAATATATCCAACTCCCCTTCTTTCCTCACTTCTGTCTAGGTATCCAAACGTCAAATCTGACCTAATACCCAATATTCTCCATGCTCCTTCTCAACAAAATAAATTCAGAGCAGATCATGCCATTTCCTCTGGAAAAACAATTTTCATTAATATACACCATCACCCACTCAACCACATATCTTCACCTTTTCATACTGCGTTTTTTATTTTCATTTACAACTTCTTTTTACTCATTTAATTTCCCTCAGGGTTTGGTTTTCGGGTCTCTGGGGTCTTCAGTCTTTTGTAGTTTTCCCCTTCATCTTCACAATAACATTTAAACATCACACACCTTTAGTAAACTTGATAGATCCACCTTAAACACAACTACTCTTACATTTCCACATATTGTCACAATACACTCCATAAGCCTATTAACTTTTCACCTACCTACACTCTAACTTATAACTCATCCCTTTTTACTTTTATATTTCTTAGGCACCAAATGTTCCTTTTAACATATAGGGCCTTTTGTTTTCTTGAGTTATAACTTGAGCAATGTAGGAACAATATCACACCTAACCATCTTTCAGCCATCAATTTTCTGTCAGTCTGGCATACTTGCCCACACACATAAACAACCTACCATCTTTACTTTACACACATATATACTTATAACTTAAAATTTTTTTATTTATCTTTACTAGGTACCAAATGTAGTTTTTTGACATAGAGGGCCTTCCATAGTTAAGTTTTAAGTTGAGTACTACACGAACACCGCATTATGATCACATTCTTATCATATTTACATTTCAGCTCAACAACATATCTAAACACACCTCCACCTACTACATCAATACTCAATAATAAATCTTTTAGGACCCATCTTCCCACATGTGGCTTTTTACCATTTTCTAGGTACCAAATGTCTCACAACATACAGGGCCTTTTGACAAAATCTTTAGCTTAAAATAAATAGATCCTTACACATGTATAGTTGGTTGCCTATCAATCCTACAAAATTTCATAAATTCCAGTTGACCCACATTAATTTTTAAAAAACCAATTTTCAATGTTTCAAATATAGCTATTTGATTAATTTACAATACAGATTACAATATTGATGGTTGATACTGTTACATTATTATAATTTAAATTTTTTCAATTTTAAATAAGGCTGACATCTGTCATTTTTAGACAACTACCGTAAGTTACACTGACTGCTCTGACACAACATCCGTCCTAACATGTCAACAATGTCATTTTGATCAGTTGTTACAATGTCATTTTGATCAGTTATCAACAGGTCCTCGTAGACACTTCGTCTCAGGACTATTTTACTCATGTAGAGTCATACGCCGCCATGTTACCTATCCAACGATAACTTAAACATCACAAATTATAAATACTAATAATGTAAAACAACTTCAAATTTAAAACATTTAAAGGGTTTTTACCCATATATTTTGGTGGCTACTAGCATGTACAAGTATTAACGTAAGTATTAACCACATTTTGCTCTAACCTTTGTCAACATTTTAATTTAACGCTCTTTTTAATCAAAGTGGTTATATACTTTCAGGTTTGCACTGATGATGGATTGTTTAATCCGAAAACGTTCTGCAACGTGTTTGTGATAGCCCGTTTGGGGCATTTTTATATACCTTTTATAAAGGATTTTAAACAAAATTTTTTTAGCTATTAAAACATTGTGACTTATTTGAAAATTAATTAAATACTGGTGTGTTTCGAAATAAATTTTACATTTATCTTACAGATAAGTAAACGCACCATAATTTGACGTAAAAAGACGGGTACATTTTATTCCATAAATAAATGTATATCCTTCATATAAGTATCTGTCAGATAGGAAAATATTTATCTGGAGGTGAAAATACCGACCCTTTCATGCAAAAAGTTTATTATTTTAAAAATTTTGTTATCCTAAAAAATTGGCTGCCAATTTTGTGATCGGTAAAAAATATAATACAAAACTCGAGCTTTCCCAACAAATAAATTGTCAAACTAGAATTACGCTGGTTTTATACGTAGGTCGATTTCATAAGACGACTTGCAGACGAAGGCAGAAAAAATTGGAGTAATTGTAGATGTAATTGATTGGATCCACCGCCACATGGTGACGGGCAAAATCACTAGTATTATATAAAAATCTTACATGGCTGTGTTCCTACATCCGGGACCCCAATGCGCCGTTGGGTTTTCTTGAAACCGAACTAGTCCCATCTTTTTAGATGCAGGATTCGCATCTGGATGCAATTTAAAAGAATATTCTTTCTCTGGCTTTTGAGATAATATACGGAAAGCAGGAGTATCTTCTGTGAGTCTCTTTTTGGCAGCAGGGTGGAGTTGTTCCCAACATCTCATTATGTCCCATACAACCTAAAATGTATGAAAAAATTTTTCGTACAATACGCTGTAAGTATTTTACAAATGGAATATTGGTAAGAGTGCTAGAAGTTGTAAACAACATCCTACGAAGGCTAAGATGTTGTTAGATGTGAGGGGGAAGCGAATTAGAAGCTCATACAGCTATAATATTTATTCATCGAACACGATGAATAAAATCAGGTGAGCGGAAGAGGAACAACAACATAAACTTCCAAAAAGAAGCGTAATAAATAGATGCATGAAAATAAGAATCTAAACACGGACAGTGAATTTGTCATTTTATTTCCTGATTTATTCGGTCATCAAATCAAAATTTTGTCAATATTTCAGAACGAGCTACGAAAAATATCAAGAACTCTTATCTATAGTAAAAACTGATCTCATAACACAAAATACAACATTTAGAAACTCTACTCCACCAGAACAACACTTAGCAGTATTATTTGGTAAGTATATATCTTACATTTTCCAGTTCATTCCGTTGTTGTAACGATTACTAAGTCACCAGCCAATGCACCGCTACACACTCACCACGCAAATAATCCACTCCGAGTTTTCGGTGTGAATCGATGTGTTAAGTTTCCTCCAAAAAATTATTAGGCTCTGTTTGCTCTATTCACTTGATTTTCCACTTCGGTTTCGAGCTTTCCGTAGCTATATAATGTGATGCTGATAGATATTTAAACTCAATCACTCGTTCTATTATCTAACCTTCCAGCGCCAATTTACATCTTAGTAAATTTGCTGTTGTAACCATGTATTTTGTCTTTGTTGGGGAAATGTTTTGTTTGTGAATACATGAAATATTTTCTACACAAGCACCGTTTTTAAACAATTCTAGCTACTCACACAACATTGAAATGTGTTAAATTTTATCGGTATACTAAGTCGGTCTGATCCATATAATGCAGCACTATTCACGTGATTTTCCTACGTTGGTACACATTTTAGTAGACACCTGTGTACTTTTCGGTGGTTCAATGGTTTAAAAGAAAAACAATGGTTGGACTGTATTTTACTTTGTAATAAACGGACAACTAGGTACATGCATTCAGGCTGTGATCTTTTTACAGACTCTCTCTTTCCATGGCACCTAGGCAAGCTGACAGCGTTGACTCGGTTGCTATTTTACAACATAATAAAGTCTGAACAACGCCATCCAAGTCATTCCACGCAGTAATTATAGGACTATAGATAATTGTTTGAAGCAGTTGAAGTTCTTGTTAAAACATGGGCGACTTTTTTCATCGATACATTTAAGTGAATAAAACATGGAAGTAAGTACAACGGATGTCTGGTGTATCTCAAATCAATTGCTTCAACCTCCTAAGAAAATTCAGGCAACTGTGGGAAAGAGCAGCATTTTAGACCTGTACTAAATCTGATCTAAGCTGTTCTGTACCTGTTCAAGCTTTTCTAGACTAGCTGATCTGCACGATCATCTCAATTTTCTTAGCAGCCACCGCGACCAACTTCACGTTGAATAGAACCCAACAGACCTGATTTAAAAATCATGGACTGGACAACAATTGCCTACGGTTGTACAAAAGACTATCATTATTGTTTCAACTAAAGCATGATTCAATCATCGATGGACGGTCCTGATTTCTCAGTCTATCGCCAAACTACCACACAGCTACCACTGTGCCGACACGAGCGGCATCGCTAAGCTCCGTAATACCAACACTGTATTCTAACCGTGGCTTCTACTATAGGCACAACAAATCAAACAATACTCTAAACAGTGGATAAAAGCACAGCGCGGAAGGTCTAGACGTAGGTTTTTTTTTGTGCGAAATGCGAAAGGAATTTTGTTGACTGACTGATCTTTAAAAAGGTAGTAAATGAATTTTTTTCATCAAGGCAATATTTGTGCTAATAAAAGTGTCAGACAATAGGGAAATCTGTACTATAGAATGCTAAAAAATCCAACCTAGAAAAAAACTGACTGGTCAATATCTTTAATGAATACAGCATTTCCAAAGGAATACACTTACCTTGGTAGGCGCATCTGTTTTTATAGAAGTTTTATTCATATGGGTAAATGATACTCTATAACCAGCATTAAGAATGGCAGATCTACAAGAATATTTATAAAAATAATTATTTACGTCTTATAGTAAAATTTTTTATTTATTTTTAATAAACACTGAAATTCCACAGTTAACTTGGTGGCATAGCCAGGAAAAAGCGTAAAAACTGAGTGTAAAAACTCAGAGGTCGTGAGTTCGAATCTGGACTGTGATGAGAATTTTTATTATTTTTTTTTATCCCGTCAGTTCTTCGGATATAATAAGTGATTATTAGTAATGACAATGAAGCAGACTTTACTTTTTATTTACATTTATGTACAAGGCCAATATTCGACAAATACACAATATAAAATAAGCTAGGTAGTTGCAGTACAACCAGTTTATATGGGTACTATGTAATGTTCCAGTATCCGCAAGTACATTCACTCTCTCCCTCTCTAGTCCTTTCCTCATTAGTCAGTTTCGTGATTTTCCATCATATGAGCAACTATTTCTTTCATCTCTCTTTATATCAGCCTCTATACTGGAATGCCTTACCACTGGCTTTCTGCACTTGATCTATTCATGGTTACTCTTTTTATTATTCGTAGAGTGCCATCTAAATACAGAGTCTGGCAATAATATTTTAAAAGTTGCTGCAGTGCATGCAGAATAATGCTGGTATCTAAATATTTGTTCTAAATGAAGAAGAATGAAAAATAAAATACATACAAAATGTTTTAAAAACAAATAACGAAATAACACAATTATAACTTACCTTATCACCATCATTGGTGGTTGTTCCACGTGTATAGTACTACAAAGTTTCTCAAATGTGTAATACAAAGGTACATCTAATAATTCTTCAGATATAACATTCAAAACACCATGAATTCGACGTATGGTACCTAATTTTTCTGAAGCAATGTCTAGGACCTCTTTCACAAACTCTGAAGAGTGTAAAGGGGCGGACCAAATAGGACCACCAATCTATGATGACAACAAAAAATTATTAATGAAATTAATTAATTAATTATTAAAAAATCTTGGACAAAAAATAACGAATCAGATAAATGTATTATTATCAAATATGATGATGACGAAGAGACAGCTGTGTTTATCTTAAACTTGTATTAAAAATAAAAAGACTATACCAATATTTTAGTAGAGCTATATATATATATATATATATATATACTCACATGATGCGTATTTCCACAATGTTCACAGTTTGGCAAAACTGGAGGACCTGTTGGAATTTTAAACTTCACATTTCCCTTTTCGCCAGTCTTTGTTATACCTAGTGGTTGAAGAGTAAAACTATCACATCCTGTACAATGATAAACATGAGATAATTTACTGTAACAGAAGAAATTTTTGTAATTTTACTAAATTTATGTTGATTTTTATTCATTAAAGTTTAAAACTGTTTAAAGCATTTCATTTATTTGTATTTTTCTTCTTAAAAGATTGAATTTCGATATAATGTATTCTTAACATAATTAAAAAGAAAAAACAGACTAACCTGGTTGAAAATTTACATTTGTGAGCTCCTGAATATACTCTCACAAATACCCGAATGTAGAAATCAGCTGATAGTGACATCAGGGGTACAATATATCTCCCATATCTAGTAGCATGTGATTCAATAGACTGCAACAATATTCTTAAAGCCATTTCATGACAATACCTGCTCCTAATAGAAATTGCACCATATTTCGTATAACAAGTCTCTGGGCTATTTCCTGCCAGCACAGCCATATCTGTAGCAGTTACCAGTAACAAACCTCCATCTTTAATTGCTTGTACTGCTGAATCTAGAAACATTGAAGGGCATCCATAAGGGTCTAAGTCAATGACATCAAACTGGTTTTGTTTCTTGTGTTGATACATTAATGCCCTAAAATTAACAAAACAATGTCTTAAGATGGCTTGATTCAATCAAAATTCAATAATTTATTTTTATTTTGCCAATATGCCGTCAACATAGGCAAAAGTTAAAACAAACTTTACTGTGTTATTAAGAAAATTAATTTGAAAAATTGCGCATATGTAAATAGCTTCCCTATATGTTTTCTTGACATATCAGAATAGCTAAAAGGGCAAATCTGAGGAATAGAGGGGATGACCCAACGATACCTAGTTTAATTAACTCATTTTAGAGACGATTTTCTGAGTTATATGAGAGGACACATGCATTGATAAAATTTGTTTTTCTTTTCTAAAGTAGCGGGTTTCTGATCAATTTTTACATATAGCTGTTCCAAAATTTCCTGCTGAATGTATATAATCTTGGTTTACTATTTTACCAGCTTGGGGGTAATTAAGTCACAATCAAAATCAGCATATCGCACATTGAAATCAAAAGTGGCATTATATAAAATTCGGTGGTTTTTAGTTACAGCGACATCTAAAATCTACGAGCAAAACTATGTCTGTTGCAAAGATCTCCGTTGTAATAGCTCGCTCGGTTTTCTGTAGACGTCGCTAATTTCACTTCTTGGCATGGGTCGTGACCGATAAACCGACACTAAACCAGTAAAGGTCCAGCCGCTGCAACGAGTCTTAGCTGAGGTGAGTGAAAAAGTGACATATTTTGTATAATGTCGTTTTTTTAATTACTTGATAGTAAAAATACAACAAATTATGATTTGGTTATTGGCATATTTTGTAAAGTGCCGATATTTTACTCAACTATTCCAGATAACTGTTTTTATATAGAATAAATAAGGGGCATATTGTGCTTAGTGTCATTTTTGTGGTTTAAATGTCATATTTTTAATTTCTTGCCATATTAAATAGACGTCATTTTAAGTAAAGTGTCATTGTTACAGCTTCAAATTCTCAGTTAGATGAGCAAAGTACTCAAGCTCACGATGACAATAATGCCGCCCATTCAACATCAGATGGCAAAGATAAACCAAATAAGGAGAAGAAAAAGAAGCCGAGATACACCAGTATTGCGAAGAATTTAAGAAATGCCGCTCAAGAATATGTTTTAACTTCCAAAACAAAAGAAGGTTTTTTCGGCAAAAATTCTAAAACAAGCTTGTGGAAATAGCTGTCAGCTGAAATGCTCAGATAAAATATTTGGAGTATCAAGGCAAAAACTGTTTGATGCTTACTGGGCTATGGCTTCCTTAGACAGACAAAGAGAATACCAATTTTTATTTAATGCCACTTTTGATTTCAATGTGCGATATAGTTATATTGAAAATTAAGAAACATTTAAGTAGTATTTGATTTCTCTTAAAATAAACTCTAAATGATATCTAAAACAAAAACAAAACACAATTTGACAAGACCTTTATTGCAAATTTTAAATGTGTTATAGCTCGTTAATACTAATTGTTGGAGTTTTTCAATTTAATCAATTTATAAATATTTCATACTTACACAGCGTCGTCATGATTTGGTTTTACCAAATGTTCAACATTATTCAGTATTACATTATTTTTGATATCATCTACAGCTTGTAAAGAAAAATCGTTAGCTACTATTTGTTTTACACCTGGAATTTCTTTGGCATATCTTATAGATCTTAGTCCAGTGGCAGAGAGGGCTTCTAGTATATTAATACCATCTTCATACCTCGTACCAGCTAGCCAAGGTTCCAGCTGAGTGTCTCTTACTTCATTCTTCTCCTTTTTGACTCTAAGTTCTTCATTTTCTTTACGAAAGCGTCTTGCAAAGGCACTTATTACTGAAATACTATAAATAAGATTATCAGGAGAAAACACTTAAAAATGTGAACATTTAACTATATTTTAATCATATTTAGGCTTTTTAACAGATCATATGAGCATGCTGTTATACATTAATAATTTTTAATATTAGCATAAACTGAAACATTAATATAGGAGGTAGCAACATTTAGAGAAGTGATATTAGCAAAAACAATAGAGGAAATACTGGTTACTACAAGGGATATATATCAATAAATCATAGGAAGTTACAGGCTGCTTTTATTACCTTACATCTCTGTTGAATTCTTGGACAGGATTGTAAAATACTTTCCCCCCAGTGCGAATATTCGCCAAACCTTCAGAAATTTCTTGAAATTCAGTTGTCTCACTTGTGTTTGTCATATTTTGTAAATAATTACCTACAAAAATAGTTCTTATTGATTCATAAGACAATTTTAACTTAATCTGGACTTTATTTTTTTGTATTATTCGAAAATAAAAATACATTCGAAATGTATTTGTTTTTTATTTTCTAAATTTCTAACCTTCCCGAACCTGACATGTGGATCCATGACAGACAACTAAAATAGGGTTATGACTGGTTTGCGAGAGAAAAAAGAAGATTTTAGTCTGGCCACGTACCTAAGAGGTGGAGGCCATAAAACAAAAGAAGAAGAAGATTTTAGCAGACAAAACTGCAAATTAAAAAATATTGTAGTAGAAAATAGTTTATAGATCATCATAAAACTAATTCATTGTTTTGTGGTAAAATTAACGAAAAAACAAGAAATTATTCTGAGCGTGCGCCATCTCATAGCAGAGTGTCAAATTTTATTATTACTCAAGCTGCTCAAGACTCAAGAGACACCTCATTTATTAAGACCGCTTTACTATGATATCTATGATATCTGTAGATTATGACAAGATCAATTAGAAGGTTTTTTCTACGAATGCGTCTTTTCTGAAGATTAATACTGCCTCAATAAATCACATGCCATAAGTCAGTTAAAAAAATATCGCTTTAGAGATAAGAGTCGCTTACGTCGAGGTTTGGTGTGGTTTGGTATTGGTATTAAATAAAATATTGAGCAGTGTGAATAAAAGATAAGTGTTTATACTTAGTATAAGCACAGAACACTAATCACAACTGTGATTGTTGTGATTAGTATTCTGTGGTATAAGTACAATCTTATTAGATTCAGCTATAAGTTTAAGTACATTCTGAAAATTTGTGAATAATATTTTGCTTATACTTATAAGTGTATACTAAAAAATTTAAGTTTAAATAACTAACAACTGGAAACACAAATCTTTTTTTTCAGTTTATTTAGTTATTTATTTCAACCATTAGCAGACGCACGTTAGTAAAAGTGTTAAAAATGAGTTCCGAGTACGACAGTGAATCTCTTGACTCCGAAGTCGGTGAAGAACAAAGTGGCAATTTGCGCTTCATAGAGGCTTTATCTAATCACAAAGTTTTATTTGATAATTAAAATGCAGGAATCATACCAAACGATTTATGGCAAAAGTATTGAAAAAAAGATTCAAAATATGAAAAACGAATTAAAAAAGAAAACAGATATGAAAGCAACTGGAAATACAAAAATTATTTTAAAAGATTGGGAAAAAAAATTGCTGGACATTATAGATAAAGACGAGAAAAACTCAACATTGCATAAAATTCCTGGAGCGGCGACAACTGGATTGAAGCCATTGGAAAATGTAGAAATGCAAAAACCAGCGAAGACAAGTAACGTTTTAGTCAGACCACCTCCTTCTTCCTCTTATATTACACCATCACAAGCAAAAACAAATAAGCTGGAAGGACAAGAAACAGATGAGACTGCAAAATTATGCACAGCAGATCTACAAAAACTGGTTCCTCTTGGGTTGTTAAAACTTATGCGCATGCAGATAACAATTTATATAATTAAATGTTTAGTTGGTAAATTGAATGTTTGATTTCTTCTACCCGTTGGAGTCCCCTTCTCAACATTTTCAGCGTCTTTTCTAAATTGTATTGCTCTTCTTCTTCGTCATTTATGACATATTCTTCTTCATCGACGGGAAGTGAATCATTTAAATACTTTTGATATATTATGATGTACAGCACAACTAATAATAACAGATGCAACTTTGTCTAGTTTTACTCTAATCATAACCATAACCATAATTGGAAACCTTCTCTTTAGTGGCCAAAACACCTTTCGATTATGACTCTTTCTTTCATGAAAAGTGTGTTAAACGCAATTTCTTCACGAGTTTCGGGATTTCTGTATGGCGTCATCAGCCAACGTCTGATTCCAAAACCAGAATCACCTAATAACACCATATTATTATGCCACATATTATTCATTTCTATGTAAGTAAATTCTTTTTTTGCATTACATGTTGCCTGTACATTTATGCTAAAGTAACCTTTTCTGTTATAGTATTCGTCTCCATTCTCAGATGATTTCAGAATTCTTATGTGCACAATCAACAGCACCAAATGCGCAAGGAAACTGATACTTAGCACTCCACTGTTGTTGTACTTCAGCAATATTATTGAAAGGAAAATGTAACCAAATATTTGATTACGTAACCAAATGTGATTTTTGAATTATTTTAGTCAAAACAAATTTCACAGTTTTACTCATTGTTGTTCGATGAACACCTTCATCCTTGCCAACTCCAATTTGAAATCCAGGATCACTTAAAAATCGAAGAAATATTTGCATTTTTTGTCTGAAAAAAGACAATGTCTTCAATCACAAATTAACCCCTTAATTTGTAATCTCACATTATTCTTAACTTCTTAATCTTTTATAGTTTCACCGTGTATAAGTTTGCATTATATATATATATATATATATATATATATATATATATATATATATATATATTGCAAAACCATATCGTATGATAATTTAATAATTAGTTCATTTACCTACAACTAAATAAATTGCCGAATAATAATATTTTCCAATTTAACTTCCTAAGTGTCGCAATTAAGGCGTAGATTAAATTGTATTATAAGCAAAAGTTAGGTGGTGTGATATGAACGAAGCAATGACCTAAGGTGCTTATGTATCTATTATGTGTGAGATTATAAATTGGGGATTTGAGTTCAGATGAACACAGTCAATATTGAGTAGTTACCGAACGAACACCATATTGTGTAATTACGAGTTGCTGTCAATAAATCATCACTTTTACTCCACAACTTCAACATTTATTAACCCTATCATCATCGATCGACGAGAAGCGGACAAGGGGGCATTTACGAACCGAATCGAACTTCACTACTAAGTTCGATATTTTCCACAATGTCTTTTTGCTCGATGGATTTAATGCTCCTCCCCTTGTTTCTCCAGTGTCTTCAAGGAAATTTTCTGCTAACCACTCCACATTAATTCTCGAAAAACGATATAAATTATGATATTCCTCATCCCGACACTCCCTTCGTTGAGAATAATATTTTCGATATCTGATGTTGATAAATTGAGCCATTTTTAAACGTGTTCGATTGAAGTTCTATATACAAGACTAATTTTTAAGCTGCACATTACCTGGGTTGAAAAATTCAAAGTTGTTATCTTAAAAATTTCAGTAAATGCTGTATTTTATTCACATCTAAATAAGCTTTTACTACAAAAAGACAGAACATACTTAAAGCAAACAGAATAAACTTATGTTTAAGCTACGACTTAATATTATTCACAAAAATGTTAGCCTTTGCTACGAAAAAGGTACTTTAACCCTTAAGTACCATGGGGGGGTCAAAATTGACCCCCGCGTTTTTAATGCCAAGTTTCCGATTTATCGATCTACGAAAATTCCGTAAGTGTATCTGTTACTACTGCAGAGTTAGGCACGCATAGGATCGATTTTGACCCGCTTATGGTATATGTGTTTCTAGTGCAATTAACGAGTAATTTGAAATGGCGGGGTGTAGTCGCAATAAACGTCCTCTGACACAGAAAGAACTTGAAGAGGAGGGACAAAAAATTATGGACAATGGACTAGATAGTGACAGTGAGTTTTTAGGCAAGGCTAGTGAACACAGTGATCACGAAACAGACAGTGAAGAGGAATGGGACGATAATGACGAAAAAAATTGGCAAATTAATAATTCCGAAACTGGTAGTGAATATTCGGGTGAAGAAAGTAATATAGCTGACTCAAGGGATGTGTTTTATGGCAAAAATAGGTACAAGTGGTCTAAAACTTCTCCCACCTTTTCTCGTACACGTAAGCATAATTTAATTAGTCATTTACCTGGTGTTATTGGAAAAGCTCGAGCTAGTATGCCAGAGAAACCAGCTGATGCTTGGGAAGGTATTATTAGCCACGATATATTGCAAGAAATTCTTGAGAAAACCAATGAACGAATAACTAATATGGCTTCTAAATATAATTTACACAATTTATCGTGTCAATATACCAATTATCTTGACATAATTGAATTAAAGGCCTTCTTAGGCTTATTATATTTAGCTGGAGTATTTAAATGTAATAATGAAGATGTAAGGTCTTTATTTGCTACGAATGGTACTGGCCGTGATATATTTCGAGCAACCATGTCACTAAACCGATTTTATTTTTTGCTTGGCAGCCTTTGTATTGACGACCCAGCTACTAGACAAGAACGTATTGCGCACGGAGATAAACTGGCAGCTATATCCAATATTTTTAATATGTTTATAATTAATTGCCAGTCCAATTATAGCTGTGGTGAATATCTCACAATAGATGAAATGCTTATTGCATTTAGAGGAAGGTGCCAGTTCAGGATGTATCTCAAATCTAAGACACATTATTTGCTAAATGGTTTCATATATACTGGAAAAGATAGACGCAGAGCAAATCCAAAAAGTTGTCCATCCCCACTGTAGATGTTTTGACACTTATTTCACCAATTTGGTTTTCGTCCATTGAGCTCATAAAAGAACTGAGAAGCCATAAAATTTCATATGTTGGAACTCTAAAAAGAAATAAAAGATAGGTTCCTGCTGAATTTCAACCCCAAAAAAACAGGCCAACTAATTCTACCTTATTTGGTTTTACAGGAAGCGAGAGCCTTGTATCTGTTGTTCCTAAGAAAAATCGTGTTGTTAGTGTCAACTATGCATCATTCCAATACAATGGTTAATGGAAAGCCAGAGATTATAAATTTTTACAACGAGACAAAAGGTGGGGTGGATTCACTATATAAGAAATGTGCATACTATAAAACTGGCAGAAGAACTCGTAGATGACCTCAAGTAATATGGTTTCGCATTTTGGACATTGCAGGATTAAATGCTAACGTAATTTTTAATGGAGTTCAGCAAAATCAATTAATGGAAAGAAGATTGTTTCTAACCACTTTAGGCCAAGAACTTATTAAGGCCCATTTAACTCGTAGAGCTCAGCAGACTTGTTTACCAAGAGAAATTCGTAGTGCAATTTTTAAAGTTGCCGACTTCAGGAACCAATGCCAGCCGCAAATCCAGAGCCACAACGTCGAAAAAAGAGATGAAGGTGTAAAATATGTCCATATTCCAAAAACCAAAAGAAAGAAAGCTCATCGTGCGATAAATGTCGAGATTTTAT